ACAGAGAAAACGAGCTGTATGTAAACAGGAACATATCAAGCAGAAAAGAGACTTTTAGATGCATTTTTGCTGCTTTAGTGACAACTCAAAACATCTTCACACTTGTTCCATTACAAAAATTATAAAAACATGACTCTGAAATAATACTTTTGATGGCAAATTGTTGGCAATTTATTCACAGATAGAACATTTTACTTTCTTCTATTCCATCAACCAAAACGTCAAACAACAACAACACAAAGATCAATAAAACTATAGCTGTATAAAATAGAATGAAGCATGTGAATTTGAGTGTGTGTGTGTGAATGTCAGTGTGCGAGTGAGTGTCTGTGTGCGTGAGTGTCTGTGTGTGTGAATGTCAGTGTGCGAGTGAGTGTCTGTGTGAGTGAGTGTCTGTGTGTGTGTCTGTGTGCGTGTGAGTGTTCGTGAGTGTGTGTATGAGTGAGTTTATCTGCTTTTTCAGTCCTCCCAGTAGTTCAGCTTTGAGTTGTAGAGGTTGAAACACTGTGTGCAACGGAACACGACACGCTGTGTACCATTTGTAGTTCTCTCTCCGTGAAGAAGAGCTCCAGAAAGTCTGGATCAGATGAATCCAGCTCCAGAAAGTCTGGATCAGATGAATCCAGCTTCGCAGCCTCTGTCCGCAGCCTCTGTGGTCCAGGAGCTCCTGTGAAGGGCAACTGACTCGGCTCCCACTGATCCTCCTGTCAGCCATCTTCCCCAGAGCTTCTGGGTGACGAACGTGCTGGAAAATGGATACACACAATAACTATATTATACAGTGAATTTGTTACAATAAATCAATACATAAAATACAATGAAGGCCTTCCTCCCACATTATCGACTGACTACTTTTGGACCAAACACAGTATACTATATTATTATAATATTATATTGCCATGGGATGTACAAGAATAGAAATAGTAGTCCTTTTACCTTTTTTGTGCACAGCAACTGCCTCTTGATGCACCACCTGTAAATAATATAAATTTGTAAATCACTATACCAGGAGAATATATACAAAAATAATATGTACAATGGTATGAGGAGGAATTATATTTACCTCCATGCCCTGTCAACCCCAATGGGGGAGGGCTCTTTTATCAGAATCTGTGAATGGACACATTTCATTTAGTCAGAGCTATGACACTACAACAAGATGTTCAAGTATGAAATAACTAAACATAAAAATAATAAATACAACAATGATAAAACGCATAACTGGCATTTACTAAAGAAACAGTAGGATTTGAGCGCTGTGTTACTTAGCAGATCAGAGCAAGTTTCCGCGCCTTTCCCTCATCTCAAGTCAGCATATTCTAGGCAATTTAGCAAGTTCTTACCTTCGACTCTTTGTGGAGCTTCTGGAGAGGATGCTCTGCTGAATTGAGACTGCAACCACTCATCCGATAAATCATGATCAAGTTTGCTGAACGAATCCGAGGCATCAGTAACAACAGCAGCTGATACGCTGCGAGAGGCGGAAGGTGTGTCCCTGCTCCGGGCTCTTGCTCTGCGCAAATGTGGCTGCAGAGACGGACCTCCACCGGGGTCTCCACTCTCTCCCCTCTCGACCTCACTCACTGATCCGCGAGTCAATCTCTGAAGCAGTGTCAACTGCTTATAACTATTCTTTTTCGCCATCACTCTTGCTATACTATCGCTAAACTAGATCGCTGATCTGTCTCAATGCTACGCTATCATCGCTCTGCTACAGCAGCACGCTCTCCAAACACTCCCACACTCCTCCTCCTCCTCTCCACTGACTTATGACCTCTCCTGTGGCACAATACTGCATCCTACTGGTGTTGATTTATCATTACAGGTACATTTGCACTATATATCAGTATTGTGGGTCATTCACAAGGTGCGCCAGACATTACTGTAGCCTCCCGTGTAATAACATGAAAAACTCGTCAAACTCGTCATGGGCAGTGAGCGTTACTTTTTATTTTATTTATTTTTTTTTATTTTTTTATTTATTTATTTGACAGGGACAGTGTACATTAATCAACATTTCTGTAAATGCACCGGAATTAGCCAAAAGGCTATTTTTCATCCGTAGTCCCTGGACAGATGTAAAAAGTCTCCCTAAGACAATAAAACAATAAAACATTACGTTACGGTCTGTGCAATAAAATACAAAGTAGGACACAGTCACTACACTATACAGGTTAAATACAAATACAAACAGTGCAAACAATAAAAGAGTCATAATACAGACAGACAGGGGTTAATGACTGCAGGACTGTTGAGTAATGAACCAGTTCATTATTATACACTGAATTATACACTATTCAACATGACGAGTTTTGTCGTCATGGGCAGTGAATGAGTTAAGATATTTAATTGGATTGTTTTATTGCACTTTCAATTTTAGTGTAATATAAAACTATGAATTAGTTTTAGCGCGCTGTACCACCCTAATTCATTAGCCTTTGACCAATTTAGATGCACATGTGTATTGATAGAGATGCCTTGTATTTAGCAATGCATTTATAGGTGCTTTTGGTTCTTTGTATAGGCCAGGTCTCCAGAACGATGGAGAGCTAACGCTGACACGTTGCCTAATCCAAAGAAGTTACTCCTACCACACGTGGGGGCCCAGCATCAGATCCGTCGCTCAACCCAGGGCGGGTAAGGGGGGTCAAAAAACAAAAAGGTGAATTTATTTACAGTGCTTCCAAAATATACAGGTTCTTTCTCAGACCAACATGGTGAGTGACTCCCTCCCTTTCTTTTCCAAGAACAGCCAGCACACCTGGTATATATACATGGCCTAACTTGATTGGCTCCTCCCACTCAGCTGGAATGCTCTAATACACAACATGTGTATCCGTAAACATAAACAATAAACAACTACTGCACAGACAGTAAAATAGCTTAACCACAGTTTAACAACAATGGCACAAATCAACATTTAAACCCCTAAACCAGGTAAATTGGGAAACCCCTCATTTAAATGGGCGGAGCTAGGGAGAGGTCTCACTCCTATGGGTCAGTACCAGTGGGGGCGGGTCCCGGCTCAAAAGTGGCCAAAAAGACGTGCGCTGACATGCTTGCAATACCACCCCGGGCCGATGGGGGTGGACCCAGAAGAAGAATTAGCCAATGCTAACATATAGCATTGGCAGACCTCTCGAAAACGTCTTTACAGGATGGTCCAAAAGTTGGAACTCCGTTCCACATGTGTGTCAATGCTGAGGGGGGTGAATTTTTTTGGTCCACTCTAGTTTACTTGCTGTGAATTTTGTAAGTCTTTCGTTCAAATGAATGGAGCTGTGCCGGCTGACGCATGTTTCCACAATTTTCTTGTGGGCGGGACCACAATTTTGGATTGCTCCAGTAGAGCACATTTTTTGGCCCATTAGTTAGAACGGCGGAGATAGGCGTGACTCTGTCCATTAATATATACAGTCTATGGTCAGTAGATACGAAATCAGGACGGAAGCGGAAGTAAATATAACAAATTACCTATTCATGCCTAAACTTAACCAGCCATTCCCATAAAAAAACCCCAACCCACCCTCAACCCTAACCTTAACCATCTTACTCAGACACCTAAAACTTAACCAGTCACCAGCAATGGACTGATTCATCTAAAACTAATTCGAAAGTAGGATTGTTACTTCCAGTTTTGTCCCGATTCTGTATATGATCTAGTGCCGACCCACTCCTATGGGTTTAAAACCAGGTAATGCTCTGCGGCCCTCCCCTTTAATTTGATGCTGCATGGAGCAGGTATGTGACAAGCAGATTTCTTCCTTCTAAACAAAAGAATAAACATGTTTAAAGCTTACAATAGTGTTTCGTGTTTTTAACCAAGTTAACTGCTGTAAAATGGAATGTATGCATGTGAATGAGTGAAAATATGGAACTGACAAACTTAAACAAACAAGGCCCGGGTTATGAGAGTGTATTTGACAGAACCTGTATGTGTGTGTGGAACCAAGGGTGTACGCAAGGGGCGTTGTAAGACTCCTTCGTCACAAGGGATATTTTTCTCCCTATTTTTCCATCATTATTATATAGCATACATTTATATTTTAACCACTGGAACACGTGTTTAGTAAAAGTAGTTTTCTGACTTGTGCTTTGTGCTCCTCATTCCTACTGTTCTATAACACTGGAATTTCCCCGCTGTGGGACGATTAAAGGATTCTTAATCTTATTTTGAGTTTTATTTTGTAAATTGTTACTCCCTGTGTCTTCTTAAGTTGTACTCCCTGTTGTGTGATTCCCTGCCCTGATGTGCGTCACCTTTGTCTCGTTAGTCTTGTATTCAAGCCCTGTGTGTCCCTTCACTCTCTGCTCCATCATTGTCATTCCATGTCTTTTTTTGTTGTCTTCTTGCATTTTGGGTCCTTGCCATCATCACCCACATGACTCCTAACCCTCACCTTTATTACTTTGGTCATTCGTTGCAGTTTTTACACAAGGTACAGCAACTTTTTTTTGTTTTACTTGAAACCTGTTATTAACCCAAACCTTTCTTACTTGGGCCATGTTTTGTAGTTTCTTCACAAGGTACAGCAGCTTTTTACAAAAACACATAAGGAAACTGAGGAGCATTTACCTGTAAAGAAGTAAAAAAACTCAGCAGAAACATGGACAGTTCCAGAGTTTGATGGTTCTATATTTATCTATTGTGTTAACATCAAGTCCTTCAAAACCAGTTGTTACATTCCCAGCACATTAGCGTTGAGCGTTTAAAAAATACATGTATTTAACGGCAACAATCTCTCCAACTCTATACAATACCCCATGGGTTGCCGTGGGTGACCATAGCAACGGTTGCCATGACGACTCCTTCAGAATCATTACATCATCGAATAGAATCTTTAGACAAATAGGCCTTGTTAAGACCAGACCAGAATATCCAGCAAACAAAACTCAGAGACAGAGAGGAATAACTTTATTACATATAAGTGACCGTATCTGTAGCTATTAGAATGATGAGTTCTGCTTTAAGCCTTCCAAAACCAGAGGGTCTACCACAAATGCCAATCAAGTCCCTTCTGCGGGAACCACTGCCCCCACTGGCCACAAACTTCCAGGGCCTTGTGTGCAAAGACGGTAAGAACCCAGCAGAATTCCGCAAACGGAAAAGCAAGAAAAAGCATGTGACATTTGCTCCGATGGCGAAGGACAACCTGCAGGGAGAACATCAGGAAAATTACAAAGATATGTATAATGTTGAGAATGAGCAATTCTCTTTCCAAAAACAGAGAGCAATAGCAGAGTTGGAAGATGATGTGGAGTTAGAGGACCATTTTACGGTCACAACTCTTCTTCCGCCACTGCCTTCACTTGCACGGGAGAACGTCGGCCAACAAAAGAGCAACAACAAAAAGATAAGTTTTGTAAAAATGAAGAGGTTTGATGTGGAAACTGAAAAACCAGAGAATAGGCCTCGCTCTTTCCTAAAAGCCAGACCTGAATCGTTTCTAGAAAGTGACGTCAAGAGAGAAGGGACGAGTGAAGACGATGGATTGGACTTTTTTGAATCCATGAACATTCATATTGACATTGCAGATCTTGCCGATGTTCTACAGGATGAGGTCCATACGCACGTTGGATCAGCCTCAGAGCCAGAACTATTATGTCAGGCTTCTTCGCCACAACATGACGAGACAGATCATGAGGCCGGTCTGGACTTTCTGAATGCTTCTCTGGACCAAAGCTATGAAGAATCGTTGAACCTCCAATCCAACATTGGAGTGCTTGTGTGCAATCCACCAGGAGGTGATGAATTTCATGAAGAAAGCTCAGAGCTGGGTTTAGATCATCAGACTCCTTCAAAACACAGTCTATTGCCACCTTCACCAACTCCTTTATCATGGATGGGAGATGAAATTCTGACAGACATAAGTGCTGAGTCCATGTATGAATCTGATTTTGAATCCGACAGCGAAAAGCCTGCACCTAGAGCGACATCTCCAGTGAGTTCAGAAGCATTCAGCAAGTGTCAAGATGAGCTGGAGAAGTTCGAAAGGGACGAGGAGGAACGCCTGGATGCCGAGAGCAAAGACATACTTCTGTCACTGCATCATTCGCTGTTGGAAAAAAGGGAAGCGGAAGAGAAAAGGATGAAGGAAGAATCTGCAAAAGAGTTGGAAGACCTTCAAGAAACCCTCAAAGCCAATCGAGAACGGCAAGAGCGTGAAATACGGGAAGAAAATGATGCTATTCTTGAGAAGGTGAAGAATGAGTTGAAAGAAGAAGTGGCCAAAACTGTACAGAAGCTCAAAGCTCGTAAGAAGAAAGGATTGGATCATCTGCAGGCGGAGCTTGGGGTGGAGCTGGCATCAGAGAAAGAAAGGTTGGTGACACTGAAGGCCAAACAACAGGACTTGTTGATGCAAGAAAGCAGGGAGTCTTTCACATCCGTACATCAGAAAGTGGAGCAGGAACAGAGGCGTACGTTAGAGCGACTGAGCGAAGATCACGAGAATGCGATCAGAAAGCTCAGAGAGAAACACTCAGAGGACAAGGCTCTTCTGAAGGAGCAGCTACTTTCTCGCTTCATCCAGGAGAAGGAAAAATCTGCAAAAGAGTTAGAGGAGCTTCAAGAGACCCTCAAAGTCAATCGAGAACGGCAAGCACTTGAAATACAGGAAGAAAATGTTGCTATACTTGAGAAGGTGAAGACTGATTTGAAAGAGGAACTGGCTAATACTGTACAGAAACTCAAAGCTCGTAAGAAGAAACGATTGGATCATCTGCAGGCGGAGCTTGAGGTGGAGCTGACGTCAGAGAAAGAGTCTTTCACATCTGTACGTCAGAGAGTGGAGCAGGAACAGAGGCGTACATTGGAGCGTCTGAGCAAAGATCACGAGAAAGAGATCAGAAAGCTCCAAGAGGACAAGGATCTTATGGAGGAGCAGCTACATTCTCGCTTCAACCAGGAGAAGGAAGAATCGGCGGAAGAGTTAAAAGAGCTTCGGGACACCCTGAAAGAGGATCGAAAACGGCAAGAACGTGAAATACGGAAAGAACATGACGCTTTACTTGAGAAGGTGAAGACTGAGTTAAAAGAAGAAATGGCCAAAACTGTACAGAATCTCAAAGCTCGTAAGAAGAAACGATCGGATCATCTGCAGGCGGAGCTTGAGGTGGAGCTAACATCAGAGAAAGAAAGGTTGCAGACACTGAAGACCGAACAACAGGACTCATTGATGCAAGAAAGCAGAGAGTCTTTCACATCTGTACGTCAGGAAGTGGAGCAGGAACAGAGGCGTACATTGGAGCGTCTGAGTGAAGATCACGAGAAAGGGGTCAGACAGCTCAGAGAGAAACACTCAGAGGAAAAGGATCTTCTGGAGGAGCAGCTACTTTCTCGCTTCAACCAGGAGAAGGAGCAGCGGGAGGAGTATCTTGCCCTCCGTCTGCAGGAAATGGACTTTCAACATAAGGCTGAAGTTCTGAAAAGGCAACGGGAAAACCCAGACAAGATGTTGGAGCTGAAGGAGTTGCCGACTGAACTGGAAGTGAGGTGCAACAATCTGGAGAGCCAAGACGCTGAGTTCAAGGCGAAGGTGGAGAGGCTGAGTCAGAGAATGAGTTATTTAGAAGAAAAAAACAGAAGAAAGAAATATGAATCAGAAGAGAGAAATATGAAAACTTTTCCAAGTCCAACACTTAAGGAGGAGGTGGATAGAGAACATCGGTACTTGACATCAGGCTGTCGATGTGATATTTCTCTAGACCTTCTGGAGAAGACCAACGACGAGCTGAGAACTTGTCGAGAGGAGAGAGAGAACCTGGTGACGATGGTGTACCAGCTGCAGAGACAGAATGACAGACTGACCTCCAGAATGAACCAGTTTGAGAGGACTTCCTTAGGATCAAACGTACAATACTCTTTCAGGTTCAGTGAGGAGCCATACCATGTGGGAACACCTCCTCTGTCCGGTCACGTTGACGTCCACCACAGAACCAGACTCTTCCTGAAGTTAGAAGCAGACCGACTGGAGAGAGAGAACTTGAGGTGGAGAGAGTCTCAAGCCCCAAGTTCAAGGTTCTTGTCCTCGTGGAGTAAAAACAGATTTGAGAATGCACACAGCGACATTGTGGATCTCAGCAGCAGAAGTTACAACTATTAAACCTGCAGTTACTGAGGCATAAACCAAAAATATGAAAGAGGCAAGCAGGCAGGGGTCTCCAACCATTTTTTTTTCTTTTTTTTTAAACTTTATTTTTAAGTTTTTGCTTTAGTCTATAGGGGGAGACCATTTTATGGATCAATCCCACGTGGTATTGGTCCATAGGGAGAGACCACATGGTATTAGACCATAGGGAGAGACCACATGGTATTGGTCCATAGGGAGAGACCATGTCCGTACATGTTGTAGAGGCAATACCAGCAGACAGGATACCATAAAGACTTTCTACTCTACCCTTAGTCGATCGAAGTCTACAAGCAAACAGACTAGTGTTCTCATACATACTTTCAAGACCATGTGACGCTTAAGTTGTTGGCTAGCGACATTCATACAACCCTGAAAGAGGAGAAACACAAACTTAAACCATACAAACCAGGCTGAAAACCATAGTATCCTCTGGATCCAACCTCCGGGTGTGAGTTTGAAGTCCTTTAGCAGTGATATGATCCACAGGGTTGGGAGAGTCTCCTTTGGGAGCAGTCCCAGTTTGGTGGAAATTCCTGCATACCGCGGCATACATATCAGACCTGAGAGGCACGCACACTCACGTACACACACACGTGAGATCTTCAACAAGCTATTAGGCCTCGTGCTTTAAGCCTGTGGGAGGTCTGATGGATCCAACAGCTCTGAAAGAAAGAAAGAAATAAATAAATACAAACTTAGCAGAATGTTGTGGTCTTTGTCCTGTTTTTTGCCCTTTCACCTCAGCTACCCTTGTCTTACCATAAACTCTGGTCCATGATCATTTTCCCCGGCTTCCCTTTCTACATTTACCGTAGGGAAACCCGCTTTTAAAGTGCGGACCACTTTACCGTTGCCTTTTTTCGCTGTTCTTTTACAAAGGAATCAGAAAAGAAAAAACACTTTAAATGGCCCCAGCCATATAAAGTAGTCTCCTATTAGTACTCCTTAAAGTGCTAATTGTTTATCAGACTTCTTCAAGACCCTTTCCACTGCCATCTTCACCAACTCCTTTATCATGGATGGGAGATGAGATTCTGACAGACATAAGTACTGAGTCCGGGTGTGAAACTGATTTGGAATCCGACACCCTAGATTTCTGACCGGATTCGAAGGTTTCAGGCAGTGAGGCTTGAGGTGACGGAAAACGCTCTCTCTTTGTTTCTGTGCACAAAGACAGATATACAGTATATTATTGATCCCCCTAGGAGAGATTCAAGTGTCCAGCAGCATACAAAATAAAAATACAAAATAAAAGTGATCATCCTAACAATCTAACAATAGTAATAATCAGCAACAGTCCTTCAGGTCACAGCAGCAGAGGTGAAGTAGCCGCTTGGTTCGGACCATTTTCTCTGCTCTAGTCCAAAGTAATATGCTACCCAGGTCCAACAACGACCAGGGTCATCTATAACAACGACAAACCCTGGTTCACTGCTAAACTCAGGCAGCTCAGACAAGCAAAGGAGTCCGCTTTCAGAGAGGGGGACCGCAGCGGCTACAAGGCAGCTAAATATCAATTCAGGAACGAACTGAAAGCAGCCAAGTCCCGGCACAGAAAACGACTACAGAAGCAGTTTGCAAACAACGATACTGCTTCTGTCTGGAGAGGCCTGCGGGAGATTACAAGCTACAAGCTCAAAGCCACCCTCTGTGCTGACGACCTGAACTTGTTTTTCAGTCGCTTTGACGCCGTCCCGGACACCCCCCCACCCTCCACTGCTCAAACAACCCACCCATCAGCTCTGCCCCCACCCTGACAATAGCCTCAGAAGACATCAAACGACTCTTCTTGAGGCGACACCCCTATTAAGCCCCCGGTCCAGACCATGTCTCACCTGCCACCTCTCTGGAGTCTAACCCTGCTTCAAATCCTCCATCATTGTCCCCGTCCCGAAGAAGACCAGGATAACTGGACTTAATGACTACAGACCTGTGGCACTGACATCTGTAGTCATGAAGTCATTAGAGCGCCTGGTCCTCTCTAATCTTAAGTCCTTCACCTCCCCCCTCCTGGACCCCTTGCAGTTCGCCTACAGAGCCAACAGATCTGTAGACGACGCCACATCCTACAGCCTACAGCCCCACAGGGCTGTGTTCTTTCTCCCCTGCTTTTCTCCCAGTACATCAACCACTGCACCTCCAGCCACGACTCCGTGAAGCTCATCAAGTGCTTGGACGATACCACCATCATTGCACTCATCTACAACAACAAGGAGTCCGCCTACAGGAGGGAGGTGGACCGGTTGTTGTGCTGGTGCAGTGGTAACAACCTGGAGCTGAATGCCCAGAAGACAGTGGAGATGATTGTGGACTTCAGGAAGAGCACAGTCCCCCTGCCCTCGCGCTGATGGACTCCCCCATTACCTCTGTGGAGTCCTTCAATTTCCTGGGCACCACCATCACCCAGGACCTCAAGTGGCAGCTGACCATCAGCTCCCTCATCAAGAAGGCTCAGCAGAGGATGTACTTCCTGCGGCAGCTCAGGAAAGCCAAGCTGCCTGCACTGATGTTGGTGCAGTTCTACATGGCCATCATCGAGTCCATCCTCACCTCCTCCATCACTGTTTGGTTTGCTGGAGCCACAGTCATGGACAAGCAGAGGCTACAGCGCATTGTGCGCTGATTGGCCACAGCCTCCCATCACTGCAGAACCTGTACTGTAAATCGCCCAAGCTCGAGGCCGGGCTGGTCGTATCACAGCTGACCCCTCTCACCCTGCACATGGACTATTCCAACCACTCCCCTCAGGCAGGAGACTGCGGTCCATCAGGACCAAAACCTCCCGCCATAAGAATAGTTTCTTCCTCTCTGCTGTTGGACTCTTGAACACTTCATAACCTGTCCTCCCGCCCTTTAGAAGTCACCTTACTGCCCTTTTAATGTCACTTTACTGCCCATCATAACTTTACTGCTGTCACCTTATATTGTGTGCACCATGTGCACTTGTATATATTAATTGTAATAATTAAATGTTATTCCTTAGATTTTTTTTTTCTTATTACTATGCCTTCTGTACTCTTTACCTCTCTTTCTGACTGTTGCACTGAGCCAAAGCAATTTCCAAGTCTGTGACTTCCTGTCACAAACTATTCTGATTCTGAATCTAAAATTAGCATTCCTCCAGTGGATTTTCACCCGATCCGCTTGGTTTGGACCATGAATCCTCTCTGCTCTGGTCTGGACCAGTATGAACCTATGAACACTGTACTGCAGAAACATCTCGGGAAAAAAAAAACAAGCAAAAAAAAAAAAGTTAAATACAAAACAAGAACTGTTTCATTGACACATAGGACATTTCCAGCGCATTCAAGAGTAAGACAAGTGTTGGTGAAATACACAGGACTTTACTTTCTTTCTTTCTGGGGCAAGTGAACATCCAGGGAAGGGACAATGAGAGAGTGGACTCTTGCAAGTATCTGGGTGTTCATCTGAACCACAAACGCTCTCTTCAAGAAGGGCCAGAGCCGAATCTACCTGATGAGGAGGCTCAGGTCTTTTGGAGAGCAGGAGCCACTCCTGAAGACCTTCTATGACTCTGATGGAATCAGCCATCTTGTACGGTGTGGTGGAGCAGCAGCATCCCAGAAAGGGACAGGAAGAAGCTGGATCAGGAAGTCCAGCTCAGTCCTGGGCTGTTCCCTGGACACAGTGCAGCTGGTGGGGGACAGGAGGGTCCTGGACAAACTAACATCTAGAGAGCAGCTTCAGTGAGAGACTTATTCATCCTTGATGTGTTAAGGAGAGTGTTAGGATTTAGCAGACAGAGACGGATCGTGGTGTGCCAAACTCTGGAAGTTTATTTAAGTTTCTCTCAAGTTCCACTGGTTTACTTTGTTTCTTTCTCTCAGACAGAATAAAGGCAGTACACAGTTTATATAGTCATTGTCACGTCACACATCGAAAGACATACGTGTCACAAAGAGACAGTCACATCATAGTCATAACATGGAGTCCTTGTAGAGTCCTTGTACAGTCCTGCACGTAGGCCATATTGCTATCTAATACTAACACCCTCCCCTTTGATCACATAATCACATGTGATCACTCAATTTGATCAATCAATAAAGTGAAAAAAAAAAAAAAAAAAAAAAACTTTAAAACATTATTAAAAACAAAGAAAATGTATGCATTAAACTCATAATCATCAAATCAATATCAGTGGATTTTATCCTCTATCCTGGGAAAAAACAAACAAACAAAAAACAAATCAAAAATAAAAACAAACAAACACTATTGGACACACAAGAACTCAGCAGATTCAGTCAAAACACAGACAAAAACGAGCTGAGTCTCAATTTGAAGCTAATTTCACTTTTATTACTCTATACTTTTATTCTAATGATAATTGTTTACACTACACTTCACTTATTTCACTGTATTATTTTCACTTTTCAATCTTAGACTGTGTACTTTACTTTTACTATTCACTATAGTTTAAAACTATTCTAATCTATTTACAAATATGTTTGCATATTTGCTTATATTGAGCCATATTCTTAAACATACATTTTAATCTAATAAATCTCTCTGTTCTGTGGTTTACACTCTAATTATCAGTGGCTTATTATCAGTGGGATTTTGCTCTATGTCTACTCTACATTCTCAGGAATAAAACTGTGAACACAGAAAGACAAATGGTTCATATGAACATTATTATGGCGGTCAGTTTTCCAAATATTTGTTGAACCAGGAAGTGCTGTCACTTCCTCCTCTCAGGCAGTTTGGTCAATAATCAGATTAGTATTATCCTTACAAGAGCTAATCTATTTTAGCAGGTTTGGGGTTAGTTATTCCACAATGGTGTTTGTGCTGGAAACTTCTCAATATCTAAATATCTACTATTGTGTTTTTGTGCTATACACAAATACATCAAAATGCTTTTAAATGCTTTTGAATCTCTCTTGGTTCTAATCTATCTCATTGATCTAGGCATTAATCTAGGCTACACTCATATGGACTTTTTGCATAGTCAA